GTTTAACTAAATGCAATAATGCTAAAATAGCTAGATACATAAAATAGCTTTAAAAAAGGGTTTGGAAAAAACCACAAAAGTATATCCTCTAATATTCTATATGAAAACATTATTCAGAATTGACTATATGGAAAACACTGACTCATGGGAACTAGGGCACAACTCAAGTGATATGAGCACTTGAGACATCCCAGATATACACAAAGTCAAATGTTAATAGTGTGGCATATCAACAGAAACAATCTTTCTCTGTTTCAGAGACAGACTTGGGGATTTATTTAACTGTCCTTATTTAGAGCAACAATCCTTTCCTTGCTAATACCCTCAACTCCTGACAAAACATGCCTAAGGGACAGCAGCTCTCCCTCCCAGAAAGACTCATTGAGAGTGATGTTCTCCCAGCTTCAGAGGAACAACCTTGTGTAACACAAGAACCTGCACCAGGGACAGGAGAAGTGAACTTGGACTGAAAATCAAAGCAGCTTCTGAACTGCAGTTAAACTACAGTCAATGACCAAGTCAAAGTCTTTCCCATCAGCAGGAGTTATATGGCTCTGTAATGACATTTATTGACAGCTGTCAAGCATTTGGGTAAAAATATGGAAAGATATACTGGCAGGCATTGAGTAAGAAACATGGGGAGGGGACTCAGGTGATCATTGGTGTGTTTATTTCGGTGCATAAAACATGTAAGGAAAATGATTTCCACATTTCTAAGAAAAGGTTACAAGCAATGAAAAACAAATGGAAAAGAAACCAAGCAATTCTTTTTACAGTAATGTTGAACAAGGAAGGTAAAGGTGAAGTTGTTAATTCAACAGAAGCCAAGTATTTTGGAACAATCCTGGTTATGACAAACACAGGTTAAAACAGACTAAATTTAAATTTTTCCTTTCCTAATTGATACTGTTCTGCAAGACAATGTTTAAAATATGAAATGTTCCTACAGTTCTTTTTCCTGCAGTGTTGTGCAGACAGATGAGAGTAAACAATCTTGCTCTCTACTGAGAGCTGGAAAGCATGACCAAACCCTGACCTTCCCTCCTGCAATCTCCATCTGGGCACAGAAGAAAGGCCAAGAAAATGAATGGTTAACCAAAGAGTTACTGCATCTGTCCCCTTCCAGAGGACTCAGCAGCTCAGGTACCCAAAACTCCTTAAAAAAGAGGATAAGGAAACTCTGGTGGTCTTTATATGCCAAGGTAACTAATATTTTCAGCCTGAGAGATTTGCCTCTTGCACACAGATTTGAGCTGGGTTTGGGAACATCTTGCAAAGCAGCAAGGGGCTGGTGGGGAATTAAATGTCAAAGCCATGGCCCTCATTCCGTGACTCCACATGATCTTTAGCTCCACAGGTACTTCAGATGCAAGAATCCAAGCTCAGATTTATTTTGGAACACAATCAACAGGCAGCATGGAAGACAGGAGATGTTCTTACACAAGGAAACAAATGCCAGACAGCACAGAATGCTGCGGTCTAAGGGAGAACACAGCAACAGGAGCCAAGAGTGTAAGCAGGTATGAACAACTGAGCTTTGCTTCACCTAAGCCAACTATAAATTATTTAAAAAAAAAAAAAAAAAAAAAAAAAAAAAATCACTCTACACAGTCTGTGGAAGCTCAGCGTCCAAACTAACCACTGAATAATGCCAACAAACTCTAAAAAAACCCCAAAAACCAACCAACCAAAAAACTCTGGCTTTTCCTTCCAGTCCAAACACATTTTCATCTGAGATCTTTTCAGATTGCAAACTGATTTCTTCTAAATGCTCAGGAAACAGAGCTCCACATAGAAAATCTTTTAATAACTATGTGGATAGCCTGACAGCACATAGCTCTGAAAGAACCAGTTGAACCTTTCGCTCCCACTACAGACTCAGAGAGGCATTATCTGTTTCATTAATAAAAGTTAAAAACTCAAATAGCAGCAATAAATACTCCCAATGAAAGGGAAAAAACCCAGCCAAAATAATACACAGGAGACCATCCTTTCCAGAATGTCAACCACTCAGTTCCTACTGTAGCACCACTCCCAGGTTATCTGGGCTACATCTTCCATACAAATCACCTGGTCATTAAATAACTCTGGAGGACTCCTGTGTGTCACAGATGATAGAATTCCTGACAAAAACTAGCCATAATGTTTAACTGAGTAAGACAGGTTGTGAAACAAATCCCACCACATTCTCCCCAGAATGGGTAATCAGCAGGTCCAACAGAGCTGGACATCAAAACACGGAGCCTACAGACAGAGAAAAGTTCACTTAATGACATGTAAAAGACTGGTGACAAGAACATGTGAACTGGTGACAGGCAGGAAAGCCATCCTAATTTCCTAGCTTGCTCTCAAAACTGCAATCACCTTTTCACAGCTGAATGGGTCCTGCAATACTCACAGGACCAAAAACGTTATCATTAAGCAAAGTATACATAACACTGCACTTTAAGACTTTTTTTTCTGACCACATTTGTACACAAAGAACTATTATTCACAGGTAAACTAAAATACAAAAGAAAAAATACCTGATAAGCTACATATGGTGTGCAAGTAAAGAACACTTTCACAGAGCTTAGAGAGCATAAAGTGCTACATGAGAGCTTGACTCACCCTCCAGATCTCTGGGTAACCACAACCCAACACACCACGTAAGGTGCCAGGAGGAAATGGGGCACACATTACTCCTTCAACACACACAGACCTTTCACTAGGTTAAAGCTGCCTGTATATTTCTAAGTAAGCACAAGCTGAATTATGAATATATTTATCAGAAGTACCTTACATGCCAGCAGTGGGCTATTTTGTCCCCTGACATAAGGACTGTGCCACTAGAAAAGCTTCAGTTTTATTGATTCTTATTAGGAGCAGGGGAAGTAACAGAGATGTCAGCTAGAAAACCAAGGGATTAAAAAACTAGTGACCAGCAGATTCAGACACCAATGTAAAGGTGAGGTAATTACCAGCTGGAGGGCAAACCAAGAAGGAACAACAATTCTAGTAGGTAGAGTGAACTTAAAAAAAAAAAAGGTGCTATGATCTTTCCAGATCAGATAATCTCCAATTCTTTGGTTATAATCTTCTCCAGATGTTTGTACTGCACTTATTGCTGTGGCATCAAATTATTTTTTTATGTCCAACCAGCTCATCAGATTAAGACTGTAGGATTTTGGGGAAAATTCTATTTATCTGTATGCAAACTGCCCTAATCCAAGATTTCCATTATTCCATTAAAGAACCAGGCTACTGGATTGAGCTTCTGACTGTTACTAAAATGCTACTCCCTGAAGATCCCACTCCTCAGAAACAGAATGGGCAATTTAAAAATAACACTGTTCATGAGCAAACAACTCACTGAGAACAAGTAAAGTGATTCTTCCACACAAGGGGCTTTCAGAAAGGCCATCAGAGCTCATCCCTTCAGCACAACTCCACTATCCCAAGAATGCCAAGACTGCAAATGCCCCAGGATAGGCTGGGTCCTGCCATGAATTGCTTTCCCTGGGCCAGGCTCTTGGACTTCACAACTTTCTAAGGGAAAGGGAACCCCTGAAAACTGGATATCTGCAGATGCTCAACTCTTTGATGTGACAGGGCAAAGAAACTTCACATAACCTGGGTTTTCCCAGGTCTTCTTCCCCATTGCTCCTGTCCTATCTCAAAACACAGCACAAAGGAAATGTCACCTCAGATGTCTCAAGTTAGAGTGATGTGTTTTACAGCAGGGCTTTTTGGTGAGTTGTATATGGAAGTAAGCACTTTTGGCATTTGCTGCTAATTGGGCACCAAAAAAGCAAAGTCTGACTGAATTTTGTGATCACAGCGTGGGTCTGCCATCATCGGGAGAGGGCAGACAGCTCCCGTGGCTCTCCCAGCTGGCACACCATGTAGTCTTAATTTCATTCACGTCAAATATCTACTAATTGCTTTTTATCCAGATGCTTTTCTTATTTAGGTACTACAACTGCAAAATGAAAGACTTTGAGATTTATGAAAAGAAGAGGCAGCTGGTCACCATGTGGACACTGCTGGCTCTAGTTACCAAGATAAGCTCACTCTTCATACAGGCAGCCTTACTGATAACGGAGATGGAATATTTGCTGTATCCATATGTACACCTACAGCTGTGGATTCAGAGATGGAAAGGGTTTCTTATGCTACGGTTAAGAAAGATGTAATAAATATTAAGTCATTTTACACTACATTACAGCAAAAAAACAGTTTGCAGTTTTTGGCAAATCTTTGATGTTTGCTTTTCAATCCTGGTGAGTAAATGTTAACTAATGTCATTATAAACACTGTAATCCAGAGGGAGATATTAAAAAAAACCCCTCAAGGATTAATTTGATTGAAGCACTACATTTAATCCACTATGTTGTGTCCAACACTGATGTCAAAATGACGTTCAAAAATAATTCTTCCACTTTACATGTAACAGATAATGAGTCATTTTAAAAAAAAATAAATCTCTATATTGTGGCCATATACCAGCTCCTGGCTATTCAAGGCTCAGACACAAAACTGACATCCTGACTTCAGACCATCTCAGAATGATTAGAACCCACCCTAACCTTCTTCCAGATAGAGAATGCCAGTGAAGATACCCACTTTTAAACAGTGTGTCTCCTCATCCCCAGCATACAAGTAGCAGGATATATTTACATTATCCAAAAGGAATTGCAACTCCTTCAAGTACTTTTCAGTTTAATTAATAAAGAGAAACTGAATATGGATTTCAGAGGATTTAAGCTCAAGCAGGGTCTAAAATCTGGTCTCTGAGATAGGAAAAACAATTAGTTGCATGTGACACTTAAATGACTGACATACTTAAACATACTTAAAATGGCATACTTAAACAACAGAGCAACATTTTCCTTTCCAGTGCTTTGCACAGCATTAGAAGAGTATTCTTAGGGTGATGAGTCAATTTATCTTCGCTGGCTACTTTCCAAGAGTATCCACTGGTGTCACTATTCCACCTGTAACAACCTTGCACAGCCATGTAGAATTAAGATTTTATTACCTTAAAGAGGAAGAATTAATTTTGATTTTAATCAAAACAATCACAAAACCTAAAGTTTACATGTAGATTTTGGCAGTGATCATTACTAGTAAACTGGATAAAGAATAAATATCACTACTTCCAAAACTGACACCATAGTAATGCTGCTGCTTGATGCATCAAGCAGGGACGAAATACAAATAGCAAACTCCCAACAAAAGTTTATTAAGCTTTACTTGGTTATTGTTAATAGGTAACACAATAAAATAAGCTGATTTAAACAGTTTTCCCCAGAGAATACCCCTGTGACTGTGCTCATTGGCAAAACCACTTGTAACATAAGATGGGAAGTTCAGAACAAGCAGGATGGTATAATCAGAGCTGCAATTTGTCAGCAGTGCACTGTATTTAGGAGCAGATAAAGATTTCTGTAGATTTAAAAGGCTGCATACATAAGCAATAGTTCTCCAAGTAATAGTTCTCATCAGTCCTTAACAATAAAATGAACACATCAGACCAAAATAGTTTCTTAAAAGTAGGTCAAAAATACCCATTCATGATCACTTCTGCATTGGTTTCCTGGCAAACTCATCTACCCACACAGATATACGTAATGTGTATCCTGGAGACAGTGAGGCAGAGGAAGAAAACCAAATACATTAATGAGGTAGCTTAGACTGGGTAACTGCAGTTAAAAGTTTTATTGAACAAAAGAAGGTAAAACGTGGTAGTCCAAGTTCACTGAGCAAAAGCAGCTCTCTCGCAGAAGCTGCATTTTGTGCTAAATAACCTTATTAACTGAGACTATACAGAGGACACATTATGCAAGTTATCTCAACAGCAAAGGAGAAAAGGTAGATTAAACTTGATCTGATGGAACGATTTGGTCAAATTCAGTGGCTTAAGTTACTGTTTCTAGCCCTTAACTACCTATATTCAGTACAGGCATACAACAGAGTATACAACTGCACTGAATTCCCATTTGTTAATAGTGTGTGCTCCCAGGCAAGCGGAAGCCAATTCCTGAAAAAAAAAAAAAAAAGTAAAGATATTTAAAATGTTTTATTTGAAGCATCATTCAACTGACTCAGGAAAAACACTCGATATATGTTATAAAAAAACTCCCGGCTCTACAAGGTCCGCTTCCTGTACAGTGCTAATATTTTAAAATTATTTTATTTCTCCCATCTGCCTAAGAAACTTCATATGCTCTGAAAGCACCCACAAATTCAGGTGGGTAAACAGATATGTCAAAAATACTCTGTGAAAAGAGGGAGGTAGCTCAGGCCCCTTGGCAACCTTCGGACAGTTCACATTGTTGTGGTCTACCTCCCCTTGTCATCTGCAGTCAAAAATGAAAGGAAAAAGGATTTCAACTATGAAATTTAGTGAAAGAACGTGTTCAATACAAAAATCTTCAAATTTGACTCATTGGGCTCCCAAATGTAAGCTATAAGGTACCTCACATCCAATACACAACATTAATAACATACCTAGTTCATACATTTTATAGACAATATCCTCTCATTTGTTAAACATTTGGCTCGGGCGAGTACATCTTTTTTGTTAACCACTTGACAAACATTCTAGGCCAAACAAACAGCACAAGTAATGTCAAAGTCTTTTTTTTTTTTTTCCCAGTAATTGTACGAAATGCTGTAGGCTAAGCCTAACAGAAACTACTGAAGAAAAATAACAGACTCCATGATGCAGTGCAAAGGTGTTACTACAACATCATAAGTCAAGGGATGGTTCTAAGGTGCTGAAAGAGGAGATTCTCTAGACGGTGACCCTGAATTGTCCTCCGGTGGGAAAACAGTAAGAGTGCAGGCTCGAATGCCACCAAGGGATTCTGGGAGGTCAAATACTTTATGCCACTCATCTTTTTCTGGATCATATTTCTGAACTATTTCCACCATGCACCGATTATTCCAAGAATATCCTCCAACAACATAGATTTTATTTTCAAAGACAGCAACCCCAACATCACTTTGCCCACGTAACATGGCAGCAATTGGAGTCCACTGGTCTAGAGTTGGTGAGTAATATTCACAGCTTAGAACATCATCATAATCACTGGTTCCTCTAAAGTGATTTCCACCAATAACATACAGCTTGTCTCCTACAGTACACATGCAATGCAGACCTCTGACTGTCGTCATCGGAGCTTTCTGAGTCCATTTGTCTGTGTCAGGGTCAAAACACATAAGTTCCTTTTGGAAAGTATCATGGGTAATTCCCCCTGGAGAGACAAAACATATGTTAGAGTAGTGCTCACCCTAATAATAAGCATTAAATAACAGCCCCCCCCTCAAGAAACATTTTAGTGAAATAATTCCATCTTCCTTAAAACCTCTTCACTCTAGCTTAGATTACTATCACAGATGTACTCAATTTCAAATGACACTTGTTCCTTTAAACATGAACACAGGCAGAAGCCATGACTCACACAACACTTTATTACACATGATCGTTACTGTTTATTACACATGATCACACTTCAGTTTGGCAAAATTACCTTTGCTTACAATCATTCAGTTTGCTAGTTTTGTTTCTCACTATCAAGAAAACAGCAATCCATTTCCCTTTCAAATTTTGGTACTATGCCATTGTGTTTTAAACAGTCCTATCACACAGCAGAATTTTATCAGAAAACCTTTTCCATCAACTTCAAGTGAATAGAAAGTGGACATATATTTCAAATATTCTTCTCTTAACAGATGTCTATATATCCCTCTACATTTCTGTCATTCCCATAGCTCTCTGCAAAAGCATGTGGATAAAAACTTCAGGGGAAGTCACAGGATGATTTCCTGTTAGTGGATGAAACATCCCACCTTTCCACAAGGTCACTAGGCAGGTCCCAAAGCAGTCACACCAATTTCAGGCACTGTAGGCGTATTAGATATGGTTTAAGACCACAATGCTACTATATTTGATGTCCAAAAAGTATGCAGAGAACACACTGCTACTGAACAATCTCTTTCTGGGCTAACCATTCCACATGGAATTATCACCAGACAGAGATGGCATGCTGTCTACAATACTTAATTCTTCAGCTGGACAATAAGAACTAAATACAGAAAAAAATTGGACTATCCAGCCTTGGCCCTGAATGACACCTATAGCAGTGGTAGTACGTGGGAGCTCATCAGAAAGAAAAGCATCTAATGACAAAGGAAGCAATCTTCACATTTTCAGTCCCAAAAGTGTTTGAAGCAGACCAAAGGAAAAGAAAAATCTGGGGGAAATACACAGCATTTACATGAAAAAAAACACAGCAGAGAGCCTATACACGTGCCACCTGCAGTAAAACATGCAAAATGGGCAAAAAAGTACTGATAACAGCACAGTAATTAGAAGCTTAATGGACATGCTCACAGAAAAATAAGCAGCTGTACCTTATAGTAAATTTTAAAATAAATCCCTCCTAGTTTACTGGCACAAGGTCCCCTAATTCAAGATACCCCAAGGATCAAGCTGCTCCAGCACATTTCCCCACCAGTTCTTGTCAGCTAAGCAACCTTGTCCCACCTCTTGCCCTGAATTTCATCTTAGTTCTTAAGAGGACGTCCCTTAAAATTTCAGTAGTAGAATATACATAAGTCTATGATCTCTGTAGTGATCGCTGACAGACAGATTGAATCTTCTTTAAAAATTGACAAGGTACCATAATATCAGACAACCTATTGCCCTACTTTGGAAAAAAATGGAATGAAACTATAACCTTGGTGACATACAGGACTGAGCATATTCCAAAAGAAAGACCAGTGAAAGTACAGACATCATTCACATACTGTGATTACCATGAAAACTTATTTTCCATTAGCTCAATGAAGGCAAATGCTCTTCTTTAGAGTAATAAAATTTTCAATGCTTTCCAAAGAGGATGTGTTCAATTATACTGCTATAGTAATAATTTTATTATATAAAATATATATAATATTATATTTAATTATATTGCTATATAAATGTGTATCTGCCATTGCTACAAAAATTGTATTCTGATAAAGTGAATAACTGCTTTGGAATTCAGAACGGTCAATTACTATGAAAATGCATAATATTATCTAAAATAATTTTGTCAGAGCCTGCAGTATATATGTTATTTGACTGCCTTCATGTGAAATTGCATCAGTACTTATACTACAGCAAACCTACTGCAACCACAGATAAATTTTTATTGTCTCCCACTGAAATAGAAAAGGTTAGATAAGTAATTGTTTCAAAGAGATAATGTCATAGGAATTATTTACCTGAAATATACATTAATCCCCCATACACGGTTCCAGCGTGACCATAGTGGGGTTCATTCATTTTTGCCACGTAGCTCCATTCATTCATTCTGGGATTGTAACATTCCACAGTAGCTGTTGGAAACAAATGACAACATAAAAGTGTTGAAGCCATTGTGGCATTTTGGTGTTGAGTACAGTGCAGTGGCAGAAACTCATAAACAGAGGAATTACCCACAAGAAACACCATTCAGCTGAGAAAGTCTCAAGGGAATTATTGAGCTTTATCACAGAATGGTTGGGGTTGGAAGGGTCCTCTGGAGAACATCTAGTCCAACCCCCCTGTTAAAGCAGGGCCACCCAGAGCAGGTTGCACAAGATTGTGCTCAGCTGGGTTTTGAATATTCCCAGGGAAGGAGACTCCACAACCTCCCTGGGCAGCCTGTTCCAGTGCTCTGTCACCCTCACAGTAAAGAATTTTCTCATCCTATTCAGATGGAACTTTCCAAATATAAATTTGTGCCCCTTGCCCCTTGTCATGTCACTGGGCACCACTGAAGAGTCTGCTCCCATCCTCTTGAGATCTGTCCTTCAGATATTTGTGTGCATTGATAAAATCCCCTCTCAATCCTCTTTTCTCTGGGCTGAACCCAGCTCCCTCACGTTTCCTCATAAGGCAGATGCTCCAGTCCACTCATCTTCCTAGCCCTCCACTGGACCCTCTCCAGTAGTTCCTTGTCTTCTTTGTACTGGAGAGCCCATAATTGGACACAGCAGTCCAGATGTGGCCTCACCAGGGTTGAGCAGAGGAGCAGAATCACCTCCCTCAACCTGATGCAAACTCATGCTCTTCCTATTGTACCCCAGGATACCCTTGCATTCTTGTCCCCCAGGGCACACTGCTGGCTCATGGACAGCTTTTTGTCTACCAGGACTCTCAGGTCCTTCTCCACAGACCTGTTTCCCAGCAGGTCAGCCCCCAGCCTGTGCTGGTGCCTGCGCTGAACGTCATTAGGCTCCTCTACAGCGTGTCCTGGTCTTGCTGAATGTCAGCAATCCTTTAAGTGTTCCAGTTCTCAGTAAACCTGCTGAGAGTACACTCTGTCCCTTGTTGACTAATTTTCTATTGTCTAGTGTTTTATTAAGTACTTGCACAGCAACATACAGTACAGCATATGGAAGTCACTAAACCAAACAGTTTACAAAAGCCAGGCTTTAATAAAATACAAGATGAAACATCCCTGAATCTGGAAAGGAGAGGAGTGCCTGTGTCAATACACAGCTCCATTTGTGCAGTTTTCTTTGTGAACTGAAATGTTAAAATGATCAAAGGATTTATCAGATCAGAAATCACAGAGGATAGTACTAAGTTAAAAAGAAACCCAGCACCCAGGAGTCCTTGCAGAATGCATTGCTGAGAAGGAATCCTCTCTTCCAAGTAAGATGGGAGAGATGCAGGCTGCAGGGAAAGGGTTATGCAATAAATACAGAGAATACAAACAGAAAACAGATTCAATAATGGTTATGTGCAGGCTGTAGGGATTGGCAGCTTGAATAGTACAATGTGATCGGAGGGGCAGGAGATCCTCCAAAATCCTCTAATATACTGACCTTATGATGCACAGAGCAATTCTGAATAATTAAGTTATCTTAAAGACAAATTAAACCTCATTTAAAATAATTAAAATTGAGAATGAGATTCTAATGCCTGTTATACAATGCTTAATCTCTGAAGAGAGATGTTTATGAACGATTCACACAAAAAATGAATCTGTCTTCAGAAGTGGCATTTTACATGCTCTAGAAAATGTTTTTTATGGAATCAAGGGTAGAAAATCTGAGTCAGCTCTATGGAATCAGTGATGGTAACTTAACAGGATTATGCATCTACTGAAAGAAACAAAAACAACAACAAAAAACCCCCAGAACCTGAGAAACTTGCCATTTTAAAGACAGAATGTAGTTAGTGTTAGTCTAAGTCTGCAGAATTAGCAGTACTGGCCAGGCCAGTAAAGAACACCAAACAGGAGCACTTATACAGTGATTAAAAGGCAACTCAACCTAACTCCAAGGTGTCCTAAAAATATCCTTTGCCTAGATTATGCTAATAAACACATCAGAAGTTATACTATTAAATATATATAAATCTATGAGTTGTATTTCTCTGTACTGCAACTTCACACCACATGCAGTATTTGCCCAATCTCCAAATAAACCCATGCTCGCTCGGGTAAAAATGAATCCATCCATTCCAATATTCTTTTCTAAAAAGGAAAGCTCCTTTCTACTCTGCTCCATTTAGCAATCAGAAGCAAAGATGTGCGGAAATTTCAAAACCAGAAAAAAAAAGATTTGATGGGTAATTATAGCTGTCCCATTTCCACCCTGACAGTAGACCCTTCCGACCCGCTGCTCATCATTCTACTTGCTTTCACAAAAACAAAGGTATCCTCTTTCCCACGGTGCTTCCACTCTGCGCTGAGGTGAGGAACTTGTATTTCTAACACACTGGGACAGGAAGAGTAGAGTATGTGCAAAGCAATCACAAAGCCAGCAGCACCCAGATGAACGTGACATTCAACACTGGACGGTTTTATCTCGCTCTGCACTATGGACTGCATTTAAGAGAGAAGTCGTAGCCAAAAAATCACTTCAGCAAGAGAAAACAGAACATGCAGAAATTGGTACACATTACTGCCATCACTATCACAAAGTTGTAAAGATATTAGTTATCTGAGAAGGGATGATGTTCAGTCCAAGATCCCTCACATCCTGATGTGTCTTTAAAATTCTCTCGAACATTCCCAGTAGGGCTAAAGTACTGTTTGATGGTATTTCAGGCAAACTATTCCAACTCAAATCTCACATTTACTGTGCTCTAGAACAAAGCTAATCACTTTCCAGCTGAAAAGCCCTACTCTTGTTTGATTGATTGGTGTAGTTGTTTCCCTGTTACCTTGCAAGGTCATTCAATTTCTCTGCACTGAAAAGATATCCCTCTGCACCGAAAAGAAAAAAATATTCAAAATTCCAGTTATTAAAAGTGCCCATCAATTTAAGGGAGGCATCAGGATGTTCTCTACAAAGTCTCCAGGCAGTGCACAGTTCACAAAACACTCAAAACCTGCTACTTTACTGAACCTAAGTATATATCCTATAAAGCATGAGACTGATGGATTTATTCTTTCAACAGCATGAATGATTCAAAACCAGACTTTATTTATGTTTAACAGTAGAATTTCTGATGTGTTCATTACCATAATCCAGGCAAGACAAGCCTTGTTTTAATAGAATTAAGCAATCTCAAAAAGACACAAAGCTTTGGCAGTCCCAAGGGATGCTCAGCTCGCACTCATTTTACGGTGCCATCTGTGATGCCATTTGAGGAGTATACAGATATTTAGCACTTCTCTGTCAGTAGCATCTACTGTGTCCTGAGGTTTATTACAGCAGCACTTAGCAACTGTGTGACATTCTAAAACCCAGATTCTTAATTTTGTTATATAATTTCTATAATACAGCTGGTTTCCATACAACTCAAAGATGACTTGGTTAAAGAGTTCCTGACTAATTTTGTCCTAGAATAGAAAGGAGCCACTTCAAAATAAGCCCCTATGCAAGAGGTCCTCCAGTTCACATTTAATTTGATATTCACATTACTACTCACAGTAAACAGCCCAAATGGGTAATGAAACATATATCCTTAATCAAAAACATTTAAAATATATTTTTTTAGTACATAGTTTTTATAATTAAAATATAGACTCACAGGAGAAGTTTTTACATAAACAAGGAGGGTTCAGCATCATAGAGGGCACCTGGAAAATAAATGCCTTCCAACCTGACGGGCACAGGGTCAGAAGAACAAGTCCTGCCTGGACTACAAGTCTTTCCATCTTCATTGCAGCGTGGTGATCAAAGTACCAATGAATCTGTGGTTGAGTCACAACTCAACATCCCCTAAGGTGCTTAGGAAAAGCCCATATATAAAAATCTCAAACTCCACTCAAGACCATCAACAGCAGAGCCTGAAATATTCCAAAATACCTAAATGCACAGGTTTTCTAGTACTTACAGGCACAGCTTCTGCCATCAAGCATCACAACTGAACTCTTGAAATGAGTTACAAAAATCTGCTTGTCTGAGAAGAGGAAACAGTCTCCAATACTCTGCACAACAGCACAGCTGGAAATTACCAGTGTGCTCTGGTTCATGAGTATCTCAGTGAGTCACACCTGGTTTTCCCTTTGCCTCCTTTTCCAAGAAGTCTTGTCTTTTGCACACCTGCCTTCTCCAGGTTGGGCTCCTCCTTGTGCCAAAGTGCTGTTCTCCCTGTCTTCTGTTCTGGGAATACCTTTAGCAGGTGCCAGCTTTGCCACTCTAAGAGAACCAACCAGAATTACATACAACCCTTCCAGGAGCAGTGCATGTTTCTGCACAGCCCTAAGTTGTTACACAGCTGAAAAATCTGAATTGTAATTCAGGACATTTCAAGTATATATTTACCACATTGCAATGCATGTAACCACACACCTGGAAATTCACTTGTCCTCACTAATGAACCAAACTTTTCTCAGTGGCATGCACTGATAAAACAGCAGCTGGTTATTACACTAAGGCACATACTGCTGAGGTGGAAAGTGGCATTTACAAAGTTCTCAGAAGATGAAACATCTGAAAACTGTTTTGATAAGGCCCGATAGAAAGCTTCAAAAAAGTATACTTTCTATTCCAGTGAATGTCAGGAGAAAAAAAAAAAATTCATTTTAGTAACTTTAATCTTTTGGCCCTTTTCCATAAGAGCTGATCTTCCAGAAAGCTGAATTCTGGTTTGGGGAATTTTTCCTCTCTAACAACAGATTGAAATTAGTTTGAACCCAAGGGCAACTTCTTTAATACCTGTCCAACACACGTTTGACCTTCTCTTCTATGAAATGCCTGAGAGTTTTTCTCATCTGAAGAGAATGGGAAGTTTAAGCTGGATTTCATCTTTTAGCTGTCAAGGTTTATGAAAGAAACATGAAAATGAAAAGTGACTTGCCTCACAATTAACAAGAAAAGAAACTGAAGCCCAAATCAAAGCATCAGACAGCTACAATATTTAGCATTTAGAGTGCTCTTCCCACAGAATGATCCAGTGACATTTTTCAGGTCTGTGTGGAAATCGCTGCAGCATTTTAATGATATCTTTACAGAAGATTTTATATAGGTGATAAATTTTGTATTTTAATTAAAGCTGCAGAAGAGTTGAGGTCAGCAGAACGATACTGCTTGATCTAATTTAAGGGAACACTGCACTTAAAGCCTGCTGCACACACAGTTTGCACTGGTTTAGTGATGGTATTATTTCACATTGATTTGGTTAGACTTGCAACTTTTTCACTGACATTATTATAACCCTACTGTGCGGAGATGGTACAGTGCACAAGGTCAGCAATCTGATTATACACTATTAATTCACACCATCAGAAAATAGCTCACTGAAGCTATTTTTCAGGTTTTCTGATACTCAAGAAAAATGTCAATACATGTTAGTTTGTAAATTTGGCCTTTTACAGGCTATTAAACTTGTTTAGAATGTATTTTCAGGTAAATAAAGTGACATGTAGGAAAAACTCTGAAAACCTCATGATCTGCAGCAGAAAATGGCTGTCTAGGGAAAACAAATTATTACAAAACAGTTTCCCATCTTTATTGGAAACAGGAGGCATTTTTAAATGTCCCATTTTATCAAAGATTAGAACGGATTTTAAGCTTCTAGCAAACCCAGCCCAGTTTTGTGTGGTGGAAGCAATGTACTATATGTTTCCTAAGAAAGTTTGCAACATGATCATGAAAACAAGTGTGTATGTAAATAACCAAGATGCATTAATTAAAAAAAATCACAGATACTGCAGTAGAAATTACATTTAGCATTGTTTCAATTAAAAATGTTTCTCATTGAACTTAAAGATATCTGTGCATGTCCAAAAAGCAAATCCTAGCAGCAAGAGATACTGCCAGAAAGACTTGACAAGACACAGTTGAGTACTGGACTGAAAGCAGCAAACAAAATAATGAAATGTTACATCTGGTTTAGATGCAATATTATGCTAAATTATTCCAAGCATAATCACTGTAATATTTCAATTTTAAAGCACAGACAAATGTACAATTGAGTGCACTCCCCCAGACTTGACTAAATGCTAACCACTGTGGTTTTGCACAAAGCAGTGGATTAATACAGGTCATCCTCTGCAGACTTTTGCTAAATTAAAAGTTACCATGTATTTGTTCTTTGTTTCCAACCATCTTATTTCCCATAAATTGATTTTTTTTCTTTTTTTATATATCAAGTGAAATGAATTATCATTTGCAAGGGGGAAGAAAAACAGGAGGCAGCAGGAGAGTCATACATACAAGTAAGTTAACTATGTACTCACAAAATATAACAAATTAAATAATTAAAAAGCCCAGAATGTCAGAATAAATGAATCTCACTGATCTCTGAGTGAAAGAAATCACTGTCATTACTTCACTTAAAAAAGAAAAAAGCAGCAGCAAAAAACCCTTAGTATTTCAAATTACTAATCCAGAAAATTTGTGTCTTTTAAAATGTAACCTTCATTGAACAGCGAGTTTCAGTTAGTCATGTATCCCTTAAGAGTGGGTTTTGTTTTTTTTTTTATAATTGCTTTTATATACCACCACACTTGCACACATACATGCTTATTTCATGTTTGATGATAAGGGCAAAGACATTGGATGTCATGCATCACTACACAAGATAAGCGCATTTGGACTTTTTTTTTTTTTTTGTAGAATCCCTTCTAAAATTAACTTCTAATGCTATCCAGACAAATTTCCCTCTGCATTTGCAGTATTTCCAGAAAGAAGCTGCACACCAATGACTTCAACTTGTTTCCTCTCCACCCTTCAAGGCCCAAGACAGGGGCAAGAGGCCGGCTCCAAGAGAACTCACCTAGTTCACCCGCTGCATTTCGGCCACCAACTGCATACAAATGTCCTTTGAGGGCACTTAGGTGGAAGAAGGTCCGCTTCTCATTTAAAGACGCGACTTGCATCCACTTGTTGTAGCGAGGGTCAAACCTGAAGACCGTGTCAACCGCCGTCTTTCCTTTCGTGTCGTAATTGCTCTGGCCCCCGACCACGTAAAGAAAGTTTCCGATCACGGCGATGCCGTGCTGGTACCTTGGTGCATCCATGGGAGCCAAGGATTTCCATTCGTGGGCCTTCTCGTCGTACATCCGTAACTCCTTGCTGACAACCAGCTGCTGCCTCAGCACTCCCCCCAACGTCACCAAGTGCGTGCTGTCCGACCGAATGGCCGTTCTCTCCGACTGCATCACCGGCTGCATGTATGGCATCATTTGGTAGTTGCTGGCTTCCAAAAGCAAGTTGACGCAGGTGTTGTCAGTTCTCATGAAGTCCACTGTTTGAACATAGTTAATAAGATCATTGGGTGTCATCAGAGGAAACCTGATGTTCTTCATTAGCTTCGCAGCGTACTCCATCCGAGGCTCCTCGTAGCGCAGCCAGCGACAAGCCGCCTTGAAGAGTTCAAGTTCAGTGCAGTGCTTAAGGCTATTACTTGAAAGCACAAAGGCAAGACGTTCAAAGGGGAGTTTCACAAATTCACCAGTACTTAATAATGCGGGGAAGTTCTTCAGGATGAAGTTATTAACATATTTATCCACTTCTGTGAGATTGTATGTGTTGGCAATTCGCCCAACCTCAACACAGTTTTCCAACGAAACCTATTAAGTAAACAGAAGAAGGAATCAAAACACTTTCTTAATTTGATGTTTAAATGGTAATGTAAAATTTAATGAATACTGTAGAATCAGCAATATTTCATCATTCCACAATGCTCAGGGTGATTTACACATGAGCATATAAATATTCATTGTGATGTATATATTCATGACTGCAAGGGGAGACCCAATTTATTTCTTATTTTGAAGAAAGAAATGAGAAAAGTAACAAGCAGATGGCATATATTGTGCCAAATAAATTATACAATGACTATGCATAGCAATCATACAGCACTTCGTCTTTGAAAAACTCTGAAAGCATCTTTGTAAGAAAGACACGTGGAAAATACAGTTAAGGGAGAGGTGATCAGCCCAAGGTTACAGAGAGCAATGCAGAAATCTTACCATTAGACATTTAAACTTTTAACATTTAGACTTTTAAACATTATTAAAATTGTATTGGCATAATGAAACCAAAGAGAATGGCACAGCTACCCCTCCTATGCCACATATTTTGGACACTTTATTTACAGTGCTCAATCCTATGAATACATTCCTTCAAAACAAACAAAAATGGATCCTTAATAAATCAAGGCTGTCCTTGTACAAACTATGTTCAAAATTAAATACATATCAAAAATAAGACAAAGGTAGTGACTTTATTTCATATATATATATACAAAAATTTTTTTAAGAATGAACCTAGTAGGATTTCCCCTAAGATTACCCACCGCATTAAATGCTATAGCAGTATGGATCACACCCTACTTTAATTCAATACTTGAGTGACCATATCTTGATAAACATCTATTTTACACTGTTCCTGCATCTACGTTTCTTATGTCTTTGGCTCCTAAATTTCTGAGGTCACTTGGGATCCAAGGCAGAGGGAGGAAGAAATGTGTCAGGCATGGGGCGTAACTTAAAGTGGGTTTCCAGAGAACCCAGTCAATGAATTTCATCAAGCTCCGTGCTACATGTGCAAAGCAAGTCAATCAAATGCTTCTTGCTGAGAATTGCAGCTTTTTTTGCATTCAAACCTTATTGCAATTCAAGCTTCATTTACACATGCTTTCTAGTCTCTGTGCATGTCAGTCCATGTCAACCATTTCCACGACTTTGTGATTCTCATTATACTTGTAATGCCAAAAGAATTTAAGCTTCCGAATCTCATGGTTATTTTTAAAAAGATTATAAAGATTGAGGACTATGACCTGACTGCAATCTAAGATTTCAAAAACGTTCAAATGACCTTCTAGTCATGACAGAGATTACAAGATTTTAATGCTGTATAACTCAATCTGATTATTGCCCTTTAATACCAGACAATTCAAATGTCTAATGAGTACAGGAATAGGAGATCATCTTAATTCACTAGAAACTGATCTAACTTGCCCAGGAGTTAAGATCTGTGGTTATCCAAAGTCTTCATTCACACATTTTGAAATGCCTTCATACACTCAAAGGTTCCAAACCTTATTCTTCATCTCCAGGAACAGTAACCCTGTAATCAGATTCTATCTGTAAGATGAAGGTGCAGTGGACTCTTAGGAGTTCTGTTATGAAACTATATGTGCAATGGATACCTGGAAATTATTTTTTTATTACAAGACAGACCACGTTGTTTATATAAAAATGTAATCACACCAACTAGTAGTGGCCTATAAAACATTCTCTGACTGTTTTTTAGAGTCAGTACCAAACAGGTTGTTCACAGAAGTTGTGGATTCTCCATCCCTGGAAGTGCTCGAGGCCAGGTTGGATGGGGCTCTGAGCAACCTGGTCTAGTAAAAGGTGTCCCTGCCTATGGCAGGCGGGTTGGAACTAGATCATCTTTAAGGTCCCTTCCAACCCAAGCCATTCTATGATTCTAATTTCTGTACATTTCCTAGGGATGAATCCTAAATTTTTAATTTACATAAATTAATTGCATAATGGAAGTAATACCACGCCATAAATTAAGTAAATGAAACAGGACATTCTTACTTCTAAAATTTCTTTCCAGTTGTATAATAAAAAAATATTAAGCAATGGAAAAATCACAAACAGCTTACTTGCAGCATAGCACAAATCTTAACTCTTGGTATACAGTTATTGTATTTAAAAATCCCTTTGGAATACATTTACTGGCATCAAAATACAGAGATGCAGCACTTCCTCCATGTGAAGGTAAGATATTGCCCACTGAAAAGGCATGCTTGAAGTTAAAAGATCAAAGCAAAACCCATACAGGTTCTGTACCATTGGTACATGGTGTTCAGGTTGCAGTGAAGTATTTGGAGTCATTGCAGACACTCTGACACTTACCAAGTGCCCAGCATGCATCAAGTTATGTATTAGCAGAGTTATGTTGCACTGTAAATCTATGCAATTTAATATATTCCTTGAATTCTTACATTTGAGAAATTTATTGACAAATTACACACTGTTAATGACTGATGAACATGACATGAGCAGTTTCCACTCACCCCAAAGTTCTCGGAAAATTTACCTTACACTGCCTTTATTAATCCACTGGAACTGTACTGCACCCAGGTTTGGGATTTTTCATATATGATTGCAAGAACTTCCTGTTATGCTTATGAAATTGTGCACTACATTTGGTTCACTAACAAATTCCACCACTCACCTCAGATTAGGGTGCCAAAACAAATATTTTCTTAAAAGTTACTTTCCCTGGCAAAATTACTATTACCCTCTTTACCATGTTCTAAGATAATAATCAATGTACCAGGCTAAATTATATTGCAAAGATTTAACAGTCATAAAATATATATATTCTATACATTCTTATATCCTGAGCCAAAAAAAAAAAAAATCCTTCAATAGAATGTAATGCAATAGCTACTTTTACTTAAATATTTCAAATTGGACAGAGAGTAAGTACAATAATGCTACTTAAACACTTAAGTACTTCAGTTAGTCAAGTGTTGGGGAAAAAAAGGTCTGACATGCTATGCTACTTAAGAGAGGCATGGAAATGGTTCTGTATGGAAGTCCATCAATCTGGAGCTCATCAACTGTAACTTCTGGAAATCCCACCAAAGTGAACAGGAGGAATGGAAATATCAGATGAAAATATAAGACTAGTTGTACAGTGTATCCAGTAACTAGTAAAAATACTCACACAGAAAGACCTAAAAAGCCATAAACAGCTAAGCAGCTCCATAAGGAGTTGAAAATTTTATTTAAATAAATTCTATTTTATGTGGTCTTTGACTCCTGAGCAGAGACACTCATTCATATTACTCATTGCAATTGTTATTACAAAGCAGAAGTTGCACAAAATACTAAAAAGCTTTTCAAAAAAGAAAGGTCAAGCACAGCACTGTATTATTACAGCCTGAAAATCCCAATGCAAAAGCCAAAGTACTTTCTTGAGAATGTGGTTCACTTAATTCTTTGAAATTTTGAAGCAATCACTACCCAAGCTGTCATAAAAACTTAATGGACTATAAAATACTACAAAACTGGACACAGCAAAACGATTGCAAGCACATTTCTGAGAGAAACTCAGAAATAACATGCACAGAAAGTCAAGCTCTGAAGCCCAGTACCACAAAACATTTGGGTGCCGAACTTTGTTTTGTTTCAATGACTGTTAGACATTGAAGCACTTAACACAGTGTTTCAAAGAGTGGAAGTTTAGAAGAGCTCACATACCCCTGAAACCCTCAATTTTTCTGTGGGCTCCCATATACAGAAGCCAAGAAAAAACAGCAAAGAAATTTGACCAGCTTAGAAAGTGGAATCAATCATACCCCTACATAACAAAAGGCAAATTTCTGGTGGCTGGCAGAGCTGGTCCCAGCATTAAATCCCACGCTCCCACAAAACAGATTATCTTGCTCCATCCTCAGATAACCAAGTTCTTTTGGCAAGACAGGACTTCCAAGTATTAAGCCCTCAATATTTGACAATTTGCTAGTTGTTACAAAACCGTAAAGCACAGAATTATGGAAGGAATAAATTTTACTTAAGCAAGTACAGTCAAAACATTCATTTTCAATGTTTTGGAATGTTGTCTTTAATTACAGTACAACACCCCCTTCCCCATTACCCTGTGATTTTCCCCTGAGTGCTGTAATTTACTTGGACAGGTTTCTCATCTTTCTCCATTTTGTACACTACTTCTACTTTTGCAAAATCACTACTGTGTGCTCTCTAGCACTCACTACTCTGAAAACAGTTCCATGGCATTTTTATTAATTTTAATTACATTATGCCTCATTTAGATGTGAACATAGGAGTAGTCCTAGTCTATTGTACAGCTATAAATATTTAAAACTAATAGTACAAGTAAAACTGAAAACATCTTAGGAAGTATTCCAGTGTTTTTCAGAGTCTGTTTGGCTACAGAGCAAAGATTATCACAGCAATGGGCTACTTGACAGGAGAGGTGTACATGCAGAGCAAATAAAAGAACACTTTCAAGTCAACTACAACAGATACAATTCTTTGAAGGTCTCACTATTTTTGTCACATGAATTAAGCTGTTACCTTAAGCTTCTGCTTTTCTTTCTAAATATTTCCAAAACCCTCTTATGAATTAACACAATTACATTATGCCTTACATAAACTGACTTCTATAATCTCTTTAATAATGGACTCCCTAGACAATTCAAAGACAAATAAGCATTTGTCTGGAAATGCTTACATCAGGTCGTGGATGCTGCTCTCAAGTCAGATATCTTCAGTAGAAATCAGCTCAAGACTTGCTCAGAATACTCATTTAAATCACAGAAATGCTCCTTCAAAAATAGAGTGAAACTGGGGAATAGTCTTTGTAAAGCTAAGATATGATAATTAAAAAAGTAAAAAACCACAACCCAATTTCCTAGCCACCTCTTGTTCCAACAAAAGTAAGTTCATTCAAAATTTCTTTATACAAGGATGCTGAGAATACAACCAGGCCAACAGCACAACCTCAATTTTGTAATTCCTCTAGAGCTACACCATGAATGAAATTATGTCTCCTTAGACATTGGTGTAAATGAAAGCCTTCCAGAAAAAAAGAATCAATAAAATGAAGGGAATTAATAAAGTCTTCCTGATTCTTTGAAAATGTAGTATCAAACAAAACATTTTTTACTTGAACAAGAACAGTGACTGAGTCAATATCATAAGTGAAAGCACCTTCAGAGAACAAGCATTTTAAACAATGAAAAAAATTATTCCAAATAACACTATTTAATATGAAAAAACCCTTTCCCTCAGAAAGGAAAATAAACAAGCAGCTGCCCTATGCAGAAAGGGGAAAGGGCAACATGATGTCCCTGGGGCTCACCTCCCATCAATGGGAGGCCGCTCCAAATCCCTGATTTAGAACACCACTAAGACCTTTTCCCAAGTTGGTATTTATAATAATGTCAACCTTGGAAAGGCACACTGTGTTCATTTTGGAAGGTAAAAAACCACTGGGCAACATAAAACAGGTGATGTAGGATTGAAGAGTATTAAGATTAATGAAACATTATTGCAATAATCTCAGAGAATCAGCCAGTTAGAAAATATTCCCAAATTAAAAGCAAAACAGCGCATTATAGACCCTAGATGTCTCTAACACTTCCCTTATGAAACAAATTGCTGTTATTACCAGCTTGGAGTCCTCTTCTTTGCATAAATCCTGGTATATGTCAACTAGGGAGGTCACATTTCTAAGCCTGTACTCTGCAGAGCAATGGGAATACCTGGTTCTTTATTTCTCATTACAGGCTATCAGAAGGCTGAATTCCATATGAGTTCATGTGGAACACAACAGTTTCCCTGTTACAGGTAAAATGAAATTTCTAGTAAGGTATATAATCAACTAACATTAACATTAGAAAACCTCCAGGAAACATTACAAATAACACCAAAGTGTCTCTCCAGGCAGAACTGCTTTGACGGCACAGCTCTTGCACTTATATCAAACTGACACTGTATGTAATACTCAGGAAAAAAAAAGATTTTCAAGAAAACTACACAGCAAACTTGTTCTCTGGGAATCCAAATTATGAATAATGGCAAGTTTTAGACTATTACATGGTCAATGTCATTATAAAAAAAAACCCCCACATACCAAGGCATTAATCATTGTAAATGGGAAACAAGTAGCCTTACCCCAGAGATAAGAAACACTTTACAGAAATCCAAAACAGGTAAAATCTGCAAAAAACTGGCAGCTTCCAGAGTGTCCTGAAGGTTGTCCATGTTAAGGGAAAGTTTTGCAGTATAGATGAAATCAATGATCTTCTTTAGGCCTATTTTGTTCACACCGTGAAGCTTAATGCACATTAAATCTTGTTCCTTCATTCCCCCTGAAAAACACACGCAGGTAAATTTACGTGATCATTTTGATGGGGTTGAAATAATTTCATAAACTTATACAAAATTAAAACATAATTTTAAATTTTAATAGAAAAACCCATATGGAAGAGTAGAGAGAGTTAATTAGCCCATAACATCGTTTGCAGTCCTGATTCACACACAGCACTGAACTTGTGTCTCAGTGTCCCAATGACAGCAGTTTGGAGACAGCAACTCTAACAAAAACCCCACCTGTGAACATGGCCTTGAAGTAATCACTGGCAGAAGCCATCATTGCTCTGTGAACAGGAAACACCTCGTCACCATCTCCAGGAACAAGCGTCACATCACAAAGCAAACCTTCCACTCGCAGCTGGTCAAAACCCTGCAGGAAAAGCACAGTGCAAAGCACCCAGTTGATTTGGGAGGACAGCAGGAATCTTTCATTTCCCTTATGTAAGTACTTATTTTCTTTTATGTACATATGTACTGTAGTACCAAAAAAGTGACAAAGAAATAATTTGTCATCTTAAAACCATTATCTCTAATATATTCTATTATTACTATTCATTGAGAACAAGCAGAATAATCATTATTTTCCAGATATGGCCAAAGAATGCAAAGTACACTGGACCTTAGAAAGTAGCTTTATTCAAATAATTAAGGTATTTTCAGGAAGATGTTTCTTCTGTAAGCGTTCACAATAGCAGTTGTTTCAGGTAGGGATTGATGTCTTTTTTTTGGACCTACCTTTTCTGGACACATATGCATTCTAGATATAATTCTTTTCCACATTAGTTTAAGTGCTTTGCAGCCTAAGTGGTTGCCAAATTCTGCAGCGTGAAAGAAAAGCTGTCACCTGGTTCCATGATTATCAAATTTGTTACCAAAGATGGCATGGCAAGAATTCCAAAATTAGCTCCCATTATATATCTGATCTTCTCTGAATTACATATAATGGCTAACTGTAATAAAACAATAGAGTCAGCTAAAGCAATGTAGAGTAAGATTTTCCTCTAAAGTTGAGGATACTGGAAGATGGGTGAAATACTTTCCTCCTTCATCACTACAGAACATAAGCTGAAACATAAAATATTTTCCTTCAACCTGGTGTTTTTCTAATACTAGCAAGAATGCAAATATTGTCTTTATAGATTTAACACTTAAAGAAGTCTTGGTATCAACCTGCATGCTTTAAAATTCAAGTTCTCTTAAAGCAAGTTTGTATTTTTAAAACTGCAAAGGTAAGTAGAAATGAACATTCAAATTTGTTGCACGGAAAAGAACAGAGTGCAAATGAAAAAATGAGTATTGGCTTCAATGTATCGGAAGCCAAAGACAGGATTATACAAACCCAGTGTATTTCAATCAGTCAAATGACTTGCCTTATATATCCTAGTTCCTACAAACTAGGCTACAAACAAAACTACCAGTTCACCAACTGCTCAAATTTGGAAGAAAGAAATTAATAAGGAGGAAATAAGCTCTCTTCTTAGTGTTCAAGCAAGGGAGAACTATGCCCAACCATGCAAGCCTTAGAAACTAAATCAAAAAAATCACTAGCTTCTGTGAACTAAAAATCAAATTTTTTCCCCAAACTGAGGCAGTCTATTTAGGCAGCAAGTAAAAAAAGTTAGTGGCAGTTTTCCAAGGAGTCATTACCATACGAAAGTCATCTGCGCTACTGAGAAAGACCACACTGCAAAGCAGCAAGAGCTATGAAGCTGTTGGATTGACTCTATGGCATGTAAAAGCTCCAGCAGAAACGAGAGGATAAAATGACTATACTCTTAAATTCTTAAAGCTTCAGGGAGGATCACATTTTTATCTGTTAGAGGAATAGAGCAGTGCCACAGAGTCAGGCCCAGCACAGGGTGTTACACCAAACCTGGCAGGGTTCTGCCAGCTTAGGGATGTAAAGATGGAACACAGAGCTCTCCTCGTCACATCCCTACAGCAGCTTTCACACAGGAGATGGTACAAGTGTTTGCCTAACATAATTACATGATTATATTTAAGTGAGCTTCTTTGACACTGCTGTCACTTCATAATTTAAATTATATAACCTCTTAGAAACTGAGAGTGGACAAGGATATGACTCAAGGAAAAGGCCAGGCTTTTCTTTTCGTGCTGTTGCTAAAAGCTGAATTTTAACTCAGTGGAAATGAAGCCACAGGCTACGCTTGCTTGTGGGCACTGCCAGCACAGCACAATAACATGGGGGTTTTTGAGGCCTTTTTAGGAAGTACCATACTGATAAAGGCTATTGAGAGGAGGCATTGTTTAGAGCAGCCAAAATTCTCAGCACAGATCAATACAGACATAAGAATATTTAATTACCTGTAATACCACAGAACTGTGAGTATTGCTGGTGAAAAATCTTGTGGTTCCTGTCTTCGAAGACTGTAGATGGGCAGAGACGCCCATATCGCTGCTACCAAGAGATACTTTCATATGAGGATCCTCCTCTTCCACCAGAGATCTAAGAAAATCGGAACAGAGGAACCTTAAGACCAAACTCATTTTCACTCAGTGATCTTTTGTTCTTAAACCACAGTCTTCTGGGATGAAATGTAACAGCTCAGAGGCTATAGGAAAAAAAAAATCTGCAGGCAACAGAATCAGTCCTTAGTGGTTCCCTTCAGCTAATTTAAGAAAGTGAAGCATTAAGTGTCAAAAAAAACATAACTTCAAAAACCTAATTTTTGGCTAGTAAGTTTTTCCTTTTCCTTCCACTCCCAAGTCCCTGATTTAGACACTAGCACACACTACGTTATTTTTACATGTGCTTTCAATATTGTAGGATGCTTGCAGGGGTTTTATCTGGTTTCCAAAATCAAGTATCTTAGCTTTTCCTTGGCAAACTTTTTTTTTTAAGTAATATTTAAGTAAGCATTTTCAGTCTTATGACTTGCATTATCTTGCTCATGTATGAACATCATAATAGAAAATACAGACCATGGAGTTTCAAGCTGTAACTTTAACCTGCCTTTAGAAACTAGAGGCTAGAACTCCATTAGGACATGATGATCCAGTATTTTGCAGGCAACCACTTCACAATTTTAATTTAAGATCTGATTCCCAGCAATTACTGTCCAAATCTAGATAGGAAGAGCTAATTTTAGGTAGAATTGTTAAAGAATTACTGCACTATTATTAGCCTCCTATTTTCATCTTGAGATGTAAATTAGGTTTACATAAAGAGATATACATATGAGTCTAACTACCCTAACCTGTAATTATTATACAATGTAAATTAATTTCATCTCCAGAAATATTAACAGTAACTAGTTTCTGTAATTTCCGTGATCTAATGTGCCACCTATGAGCATGCAGGGCACTATAACTCATATATACACAATTTTAATTAGCAAACATAAGCTGTTAATCTACAGATGAGGGCATCTTCATTATTAATAAAGACTCCATGCCGCACAGAAGATTGCCAATTGACGTAATTGCTGCAAAACTCAGATAGGAAAAGTTTTCCAAACTTTAAATGTGCTGGTTGAAACACTGACCTCCAAGCTAGTTTCAGAAATTACTTTAAACAAGTGACAAGAATGTGCTTAAATCCCCCTCCTCTTCCCCAATTTTGATTATGTTCACTATGTAAGGGCAGATTTGGAATTTGCGGAAGATAAATAATTTTCATAATTTCCTTCTATAAAAAAATATTTCCCCCACCTTCTTTGGGTACAAAGCCCATGCAGAGCAGTTTCTGAAACTCACACATTACCCTGATAGCACCAATGTGCCTTGTTCAAACCCATGAGTACAAAAGGTCAGCTACAAAAACATATTCAGAACAAATTCACCATTCAACAGCGTACATGGGTTTGAAACAGTGAGATTTTATGCACACAGACATAACATTGTAGGAACAAGGGTACATCTAAATAGCTGTGACTTCTAATGTATTCAGACAGCTGAATAAACCAATAAATGTGGATGCACTGCAGCATGCAAAATTTGTGCAATTTTGGAACAGAATTATCTCTATTTTATAAAACAAATCCAGAATTATTTAAATAAAGTTTACAGGGTGTACTTCAGAAAAGTGCTCTCCAAGCTATCTTTGGCATACAACAAATACAACAATGTAACACAGCAGCAAAGCAATTTCTAGCTCATGACCCAAAATATTTTTGTTCACTTTGTTCTAGGGTGTTTTAGCTTTGGTGGTGTTTGTTTGTTTTAGTTTTAATACATTCACATCAAGGCAAGAGTCTAACATAATTTCAAAGGACACCCAGTCTCTAAATTTGTACACGTCTTTCTAAGAAGAAATACAAAATAATGTGGGGAGACTTGAAAGCGTGGGTGGGAAGGAACAACAGATTCAAGTAGCACGAATCTGACTATTTGCTCTTGAAGCAGCTTCCCGAAATGTCAGATCAGATAGATGTTACATGAAGGAGCTTTTAAAATACTTTCTCTAAATTCAGAAGAAAATAGAAGATGTACACATCAGTTAAAATCATTAGGAAAAGAAATAACAAGTAAGCCAACCTTCTTGGCTCTTTGGAGTGAGCTTTTTACCATGTTTGCCACAACACTACTTGATTTCCTGACAGCCAGCATAATTCATAAGTTTTGTAAATGGAGGCAAAGACCTTGATCATGTTCCCTTTATTCCAAGAACGGCAGGAATCATGGAAACATTTTTCTGAACGGGCCACGTTACACACAGTTTCTCAAGCTCTGCCCTAAGAGGTTGGTCTCTATAGCACACAATGCCTTGTTACAACTGCACAGCCAACAGAGAGGATATAAAAAATTTTACAGTAGTTGCAATACTTAGGAGTACACATTCGATGTGCCAGGTGTGACTATAAGCAGTTATTTCCCCTACCTGATTTGCAATAGATAACAAGCAGTTCTCTAATACCTGTACCACACACATCAGCTCAGCAGCTCACAACTCGGAGCTCTTCTGCAGAAGAGATTTTCACTATTTCTCTTCCACATTGGCTGTTACATATGGACAGGAACTTGCACACACGAATTAGACATTAAAACCCACAAATTTCACACTATAAAAATCCGCCAGAATATAAGTGTTACTGTTCTAGTCTCAAGCCTTGACTTGGCTGTGTACGACTCCATGAGAAAAAGTATTAAAGATAAGCAGATTGTATTAATCCTATACTGGTTTTTTGCTTATATCTAAGCAACTATGACAAAAAAACCTGTGATGTGTTTGTCTGTGGGGCTTTGGGGATTTTTGTTTGTTCATTTTGTAGTTGCTAAATAAACCACCTTTTTAACCTACTGCTTAACAGTTTAGGAGGGCCAAGTACCCTCTCCCTTTCTGCAGAAAGTGACATTGAGGAGCTGGGTTTGGCAGAAGTTCCAATGCAAGTCAGCAATAAGACCTGGCGACAGCGCCCTGATCCCCTGAATTCCAGCTCTGTGACATTCACCGGGAGGGAAAGAGCACTCCCAGAGCAACCAGAAATAATGCCTTTGTCACTGGCTCTGTGCAAGTTTCAGCATTTATCTTCACCCAACAAGAGGAACCTTTCTTTGCAAGACAAAGTGCAACTGCGACAGCTCTTACTCTGTGTTGACAGAAATATACGGAGAGCAGAACCCAAGCACTGTATCATACACAATAATTTAAAACCGCCCTGCAGAAAAATTTCAAAGTATTCAGAATATAACTTCTGCTGGGGGGGTTGTAAAGTGAATATTCAGAAATAACTCTGCCATTCGCAGCCAGAACAGGCAGGAAATGCGCTTAACGTCCAACTGAATTCCCAACAAAACCATAGTAAGTACATCTGTCTTCTTTGGACACTTACCAAAGGCATTATTTACATTCATTAACATAGGTCTGCTAAGCACTATAATTAACTCAATAATAATGAATGTAAACATATTGATTTTTTTACTTTATTTAAGTACAGTGTATCACAATTAAGCATATACCGAAGAAGAAAGTTAATTCACTTTCTAATTAATTCTATTGTTCTGATCAATAGAAATCATTAAACAAGAAGTGTAGCACAGCAGTACCATTTTTAACCAGAGTTTTAAAAAAAAAGAAAAAAAAGGTTAGAAAAAGTTAAAACTACAATAACATGTAGTGAGAATTCACAACAAGCTGCTCTGAATGTGGAAATTAACACCACCTTCAAGGCACACGCTTGGCCTGGAGGGGGTTGAACATTATAGTGGTAAGAAGAAGGGAATGTTGGAGTTGAATGTGAAATGAATATTAACACTGCAATAGGAGGGCAGAGGAGCTGCAACCTCTGGGATGCAGTGGCTCACAGTTCAGAGAAAGGCACCAGAGGTTAATTAGTTGCCATCACAAAGTAACTTCAATCAGAATTTTCTTTCTAACCTTACACTGATTCTTTCAAGTACAGCAGTTTTTCCCTTACAGCTATAACCAAATGTGACTCCAAGTTAATCCTCCAAGTACTTCCAACTGGTATTTTTGTAGCAGTGAGATACGGAGTGTGCGTTATATGGATATTAATATGCTTTAGCTTTCCAGCAAATACTGACAAATTGAACTGGCTGGAGATACAACACGATTTACAGAGGCAAACTGCTTTCTAAGGCACTTAGCAAATATTAACCTGGCAAAACTGTTCAGAGGCATCCAGGTGACCCACGATAAGCAAAGATCTGTGGAAACTATGACAAATTTTATTCTCAACTAGAATATTTAAATTATGGAGTGGCCATTTTGTATAGAGCTCAGTGGCATAAATGAAATAAAACAATATTCTGCTATGTTTTCTTCAGAAGTAGTTGAGCTCATTCTGATGCAACAGAAACAAAGCAACTAAGAATATTAACAATTTGTTCATTTATATTAGTAAACCATTCATCTGTTGTGCAGAGTCTTTGAAAATAAAGGAGATCAGCCTATAGCTACAGATATTTGAGAGTGCATGTTCTCCGTTTATTTAAAACCCACAGTCTTTACGTAAGTCAGTAAAAGCTTGCCAAAGCCATATTGGCCAGACAGTGAATTCTTAATTTCTCAGTAGCTTGTTTTTGAAAGAACTACAACTTATTTTCTCTGTCAAATTACTGTTCAATGACCCATGACCACAAGTGTTCTGGTCACTGGTAAATGGCATCTTCAGCAATCACCCCTGGCACGTGCCTGGACTCTGGTATTTATCAGGTAACAAAGAACAAGATTTCAATTTCATATTAAGACATTCTTATTACAAGCCAAATTTTCCCCAATTTTATGACTTATTAAAAAATCTGTTACATTACAGGGCTATCCTGTACATGCACCTATGAATGTAATTTGCTAATGAACTTACTACTGAAAAGATCTGTAAAATACAACAAAACTTTCATTCACTATTAAATATACAGTAATTTTTTTTACTTTGTATGTGTAATCTGCCAGAAAGTATTTTAGTAAGCTTGTTCTGCCAAAAAGTAAGTATTGACTCTGTTACTGTCTTCCTATTATGAACAGGTGTTCCAACTTCATGAGTAATG